GGGTTTTGGACTATTATGCTCAGACTTGTCCTCCGTATTTCCTTTGGCTTCTCCAGTCCTTCCGTGAAACTCCCTTCTGCTGACCACATTCACGTGCACGCTCGCGCGTGGCTCACAGTCAGCTCATCAACGCTACGGTCACTGCTTGTGCAGCTAACATTCCATTCATCTAAAGAGTCCAAAACTTAGAGCGCGTGGTCTAACCTCAACCACTCTGCAGCACTCCTGCGGACAGCAGAGACTGCAGATAGTAACACTGGAATCTCAGTGGACAGAAGGGCGGAATATTGAGGGCAGGCATGTGTGGGTGGCAGCTGTTCCAGAAGTCATCTCTGACTACCATATTCCCCTCCTCGCACCCTTCTGGTTTGTTTTTCGTGCCCCTTTCCTGCCCTCCCAGGGCACCCAGGCCTCCCTCTGTCTTCGCCCTTACAATGCTGGCTTGCATTTGACTCTCTACTCATTTGTCTCTCCCAGAATGAAAGTTTCTTGAGGTTACAGACTATGCTTCCAGATCAACAAATTCAACAAGTATTTGTTGATTAACTAGGTAAATGCATTTCCTGTTTCCTTATAAGGTACTTGTAAATTCAGAATTCTTGGAAAGATCAAACTGAAGAACATATATAAGCACGTATAAAGACTGCCCTCCCTCCACTGTATGGGAGCTACAGTCTTAAGATGTAATTTTAATTAAACTGAACTTGAACTTAACTAAACTTAACATGGAGAACAAAAAATGTGCCCCTACCTTGGTTTTTTAAGTCCCTGGTGTGCAAATGATTAGTGCACTTGGCTGCTAACCAAAAGATTAGAGATTTGAGTCCATCCAGAGGTACCTTGGAGCCCTGGGTGCATAGTAGTTAAGAGCTTGGCCACTAACCAAAAGGTCGGCAGTTCAAATCCACCCGCCGCTCCTTGGAAACCCAATGGGGTAGTTCTACTCTGTCCTATAGGATCGCTGGAACCGACTCGATGGCACCTAACAACAACGAGAGGCGCGTTGGAAGGAAGGCCTGGCGATCTTTTGAAAAATCAGCCATTGAAAATCGTACAGAGCCCAGTTCTACTCTGATGCGCATGGGGTTGCGGTGAGTCCAAACTGACTCAGCAGCAACTGGGCTGTCCGAGCTATCCCCCACAGTAACAACTGTTGCTTTTGTTAAGGCCTTGGTTGTATATTTGCATATGTTTTGAATGGCCTTCTCGTAATCAAATTTGTCCAACTATTTTACAAAATGGAAGGTTTTTCAGGAATGCCTATATCCTGTGATAGCAAAAATCCCCATACTTTAAATTTTTATAATGTCAGGTAATTTTTAATCTCTTAATATGAAAGAACTATGCTACATATTTATTGTAAAAAGAATTTTTTTTTTTTTTTTAAAAGAGGAAGAAACAACCCTTTTCTTCAGAGACTCTAGGATACAATTTTAACACCTCCAAAAACGCGATGCTAATTTATATTTACACCAGTGGTATCTGTGAACACTGGTTCCCTTACCGCCTAACTGGTTGTTTCATGTCAGGATGAAAGTTCTTTGCAGCAATAAAAAAGAACAAGGGTGGAAACTTCCCTACTAGACACTTCACTGAATGACTCCCTGCGTCCTTTCACCGTAACAGAATTCAGACGTTTTGCGTTGTTAAATAAGAAGGCCTTTCTCATCATCTTTCTCCAAAGACAATTAAAATACTCCTTTCATAAAGCTAGGTGTTCTTTCAAAAAGTTGAAGAAGTAAAAAGGCAGTCTTTGTGCTATTCTCTATGAAGCATAACATGGGTGTCGCTTCGTTCTTTTTCCTAAATAAGCTTTCTAAAGATACAGTCAAACTGTGCTGAGCTGCCTAAATATATTTGTAGTTATGTTGTGAATGATTGCAAGTGACTGCTATCCTGCAAACGTTTTCTTTATATTAAAAACATCAAGTAATCAGGACCTTGTAAATTTAAAGTTTTGTTTCCTTTAATTTCTTGTTTTCCAGGTAAATGAGGTTGAATGTCACCAGCAGTCACTAGTAAATAGATAAGATTTTTTTTTTTTTGCTCTTGAACTTTGAGACTTTCTTGTATACAGAAATAATCACAGAGCTTTCCTACCAGCTTCATTCTTAGCTTTTTGCCCTTGACCTCAGAAGACATATTTAGGAAACAATGTCCCCAGGAAACCTAGTGCTGTGTTATTTCACTTGAGAACACATCTAGGTTATTAATATTTTGGTAATTGTGCTATGATGATGTTGTTAGCTGTCGTCAAGTCAGCCCCCGACTCTTGGTGACCTCGTCTGTTATAGGGTAGAACTCCTCCGTAGGGTTTTCTTGGCTGTCATCTTTACAGAAGCAGATCACTAGGCCTTTCTTTCACGGAGCTGCTAGTTGAGGGATGGGGACTTTAATCCAGCAAATGTAAATGCAACACATATAAATTAAATTATCTTTTGAGTAAATGATTTTTTTTTTTTTTCAAGTCGAGTATCATCATCTACAATATGTTTTGGTCTCCAGGGAAGAAGCCGCGTATGATTTTGGCTTGATTGTGTGACAGTGCAGATCATTAAAGCCTGCAACTACTGGGCTGTCTGGATTTGTAGAGTGGGGAGTTTTTTTGCTTTTATAATCTTTAAATAGGCATTATAATTTATAATAATAATAATAGCCTCTATTTTTCTGAGTGCCTCTTTTGTGGTAAGCAAGAACTAGGTGCTTTGCAGATGTCAGCTCACTAAACTGTCACGCAGACCAAATGGGGAGGTGTTTAATGCCCTGCTTTTCACACGAGAAGTTAAAATGGCATTCCACTGTATGTAGTGGTCTGCTGCTCCCTGTTCTTCCTTAATGACACAGGGTGTGATGTTTCCTTTTCAGTATGTGTAAATCTCCCCCTTGTTAACACTTGCCAAGTGTTCCATTGTGCTTATGCGCAGTTAACCAGGCTTTGAGATGGATACTAAGTTGTCTCTAGCTTTCCAGAATTGCGAATTATATCCCAATGAACATCCATGCACAAATCTTTGTGTGTTTGTGAGAACATTTTTATAAGACTGGGCATAGGTTGGAGCCCTGGTGATGCAGTGGTTAAGAGCTTGGTGGCCAACCAAAAGGTTGGCAGCTCAAATCCACCAGCCACTCCTTGGAAATCCTATGGGGCAGGTCTACTCTGTCTTATAGGGTCACTATGAGTTGGAATCAACTCATCAGCAGCAGATTTGGGGCGTGAGTTATTTGATACTCGAGTAACTCCAGGAACTCAAGTAATGCATATGGTCGCTCCTTGTGTTATGGAGGATTGAGACTACCTAATGACTGGGACTAAGACGGGGACTCAGGTGACAGGGGGCTGGAGGACTCCTCAAATTGCCCTCCCACTCTTTCTGTACGAGTTGTCTAATTTACCTCTCCTTTGATTCTACCCATCCCATGAGGACGTCTTCGCTCTGAAAAGTCCCTTGTATGGTCAGTTCCCCCTCCTGGTTTGCTAGAGTTTTGACTCTCTCCAAGGATTGGGGGACTTAAATTGTCCCTTTAGGTAGACTGTTAGCTGCCTGCAGAAGAGCCTCGTCTTCCTCTTTCCTCCCTCAATATCTGGAACAAAGATCACCCTAGAAAAGTCCCTTGCATAAGCAGAGTTTTTTTTGTTAATGCTAGTGACAGAAAACCCAAACTCAAATCAACTTATGCAGAAAAGAAGTAACTGGCCCAAAGAAATGAAAATGTTGGGGCTTCCCGGTGGATTTCGGCTGGATTCCAGGCTCAAAAGAGCTTGTCAAGCACCTCACTATTCTTTGCTCAGCTGTTTCCCTCTGTAGCGTCTCCATTCACTGGAAGTTCTTCCTTCACTGTTCCAAGATGGGCTCCAGTGCTACCTCCTGTCCTTTCAAGAACCCCACAAGAAAGCTCTATGATTCAATTCAACTTGTATTTACTGTGTGCTTACTATGTAACAGGAAATACTCTAGGCCCCAGGATGGAACAACAATGGACAAAGTAGACAAAAATCCCTACCTTACCTCTACTGATGCTCTTCCCCAAGGGTCTAATGAATGTCTCCGAATTAAGTCTTATTGGCCTGGCTTGGGTCACCTGCCTGCCCCTGAACTGTCCTTGAGAAGATGAAATGATTGGTTCAGCATGGGTCCTCTATCCACTCTCAAGTCATTAGTGGGGTCAGCCCCACCAGCTGCAGGGATCTAGCGTGATTGGGGTGAGGTTCCCATGAACTCCTCCCAGCAAGTTGACTATTCGGTGCTGCCAAGCAAGCAAAAGTAATAGCTGTCCGTCACCACCATCCATGCTCTTTGATCTGCAGATTGGCTGACCCGTGGTACTAGGAATTCCTGCTCTAGTTTCTCTTTCAGCCCGAGCATTACTGATGCCCACTGTCTTCCCTCTGCCCACAGCTCCAGATGAAGATGAGTGAGCGGGCCGCCTCACTCAGCACCATGGTGCCCCTGCCCCGCAGCGCCTACTGGCAACACATTACCCGGCAGCACAGCACGGGCCAGCTCTACCGCCTGCAAGGTAAGCCAGGAGGAGGGCCGGGACCCCCGTCAACGCCCTACTACATGAGGCACTGGATCTTTCAGAGCCCTGCTTCTCGAATATATGCATCTATCATAATGGCCTGGGAACCTTGTTTAAAATGCAGACTGTACCCCAGAGATTCTGGTTTGTAGCGTACGGTGTTGTTAGTTGCTGTCAAGTCCGCTCTGACTCATGGCTACTCCATGTATAACAGGAGACGCTGCCCGGCCGTGTGCCATCTTCATAACTGACCGTATGTTTGAGTCCATTGTTGCAGCTTTCATGTAGTGCATTTCAACCCCGGGAGCTCATCCTCCAGCACTGTACTGGACAATATTCTGTTGTGATCCACAGGGTTTTCACTGGCTAATTTTCAGAAGTAGACTGTCAGATCTTTCTTCTTTGTCTGTCTGAGTCTAGAAGCTTCGCTGAAACTTGCCCACCATGGGAGACCCTGCTAGTATTTGAAATATTGGTGACATAGCTTCCAGCATCACAGCAACACGCAGCCACCACAGTATGACTAACTGTCAGAGAGGTGGTGGACTTACGGTGTAGAATATACTTAGAAATTAGCACTCTTGACAAACCCCTACACAGGCTCTGGGCAAGAGGTCTGGGGTCCCCCTTGGATTCTCAGAGTGTGGTCTGTGGACTAACAGCACCAGCATTACCTAGGAACTTACTAGAAATACACATTTTCAGGCCCCTCCCCAGATCTACTGAATCAGGAACTCTGGAGTGGGGTGGTCTAGGTGAGTCTGATGCCCACTCAAGTTTGGAACCACTGGTCTAGTGGGAAGGGCCCTGGACTAAGGCAGGGAGTCCCAGGTTCTGCCGTGTGAGTTAAGCAGATCCTAATAAGCCCCTCTTCAGAGAGGTGCTCTCTGAAACAGTGTACAGAATGCCTATTAGGGGAATAGCAAGAACAATTAGTACTTCTGTTTAAATATTTTTATCTTGTCCTTTTGATTGGGCATTTTTATGTTTTATGGTGTGCATAGTATAGCTTGTGCATATGTGAGTTATAAATAAAAATGTATATTGGGGATCCTTGGTGAAGAGCTCACCGATAAGGTGCAAGATCACATAGCCTTGAAGAGCATGCATGCGAGGTCCTTGCGGGCAAGGCAGATCTTGTTCATTGTTGGGCTGTATCACTAAGGCCCGGTACTGTCCCTGCTACCTACTTTGTATCCAGAAATTGGCTGAATAAATGAATGCAAGAATGAATGAATGAATGACCACAGAAAACAGTGACCTTCTCCTGACCTCAGTCATAAAGGTCCTTGTCACATCAGCCTTCTTTCAGGCCCTCCCTGCTGGTCATTTCTAGCCAGAGAGGTTTTCATGCACTTTCTTTCTCCCTGCAATGCTGCATCCCCCCTGCCCCCCAATTAATTCTTTCTCATCTTCAGGTCTCCCCTCTGGCGGTTCCTCCCCCTGGAAGCCCTCCTAGACTTCGGTAGCTGCTGTTAGCTGCCGTCAAGTTGATTCTGTGTGTGCAGAGTAGAACTGTCCCACAGGGTTTTCGAGGCTGTGACCTTTTGGAAGCAGATGGCCAGGCATGTCTTCGGAGCCACCTCTGGGTAGGTTCTGACCGCCAGCCTTTCGGCTGGTAGTGGAGTGCTTAACTGTTTGCACCACCCAGGGACTCCTTCCAGACTTCAGACTAGCATGGAGATTTCTACTAATGTGTCCTCGGAGGCTGAGGATGATGATCTTTCCCTGTAGCCCTTATCACAGCCCTCATTTCATATTTACCCGTGTGGCCGTTTCACTCATGGCCAACTCCTCCACCAGGAGGTCTGGTCCTTTCTATCCTCATCCTTTTGTCCCCGGTGCCTTGCATGGAGCGGCCATTCCATAAAGATTTGGTGGAAGAATGAACCATGGAAAGAGGGCACCGAGAGATACTTACTCTCTCATCTTTGTTGCTCTACTGTGTTCACTAGCGGAGGGCTTGAGGCATAGTAGATGCTCAGAAATATATCCGCAGTGACTGCGTGAGTGGCTGAGACAATGACGTTGTTGATACATAAGCTTACCTTCCAGTCATTGTTCCGCGTGATGGAGGTAGAGAGATGGCTGGGTTAGATCTAGTCTTTTGATCCCCGCATCGTCTTAAAGGTTTTTTTTTCCACAATATTTCAGTTATCATTACAGTTTTTGTCATATACACACCACTTACACTATTATTCTTGGAGCCCTGGTGGCTCATTGGTTAAGCATTCGGCTGCTAACCCAAAAGGTCAGCAGTTCGAATCCACCAGCTGCTCCTTGGAAACCCTACAGGGCAGTTCTTCTCTGTCCTATAGGTCACTATGAGTCAGAATCAACTTGACAGCAAAGAGTTTGAGCTTGGTGGTTTGGTTTACACTATTATTTAATTTCATTCAATCTCTTCTACTTAAATATTATTTTAAAAGAAAAGTGCATGTCACTACCTTTAAACTGTTACAGAGGACTCTGCATAGGGCAAGCAGTTTGCAATTAGCTACTAACGCAAAGGTTGGCAGCTCGAACCCACCCGGTGGCTCTGTGGAAGAAAAGCCTGGCAAACTGCTTCTGTAAAGATCACAGCCCAGAAAACCCTGTGGAGCAGTTCAACTCTGCAACACATGGGGTTGCCATCAGTCGGCATCAACTCACTGACAATGGATTTGGTTTTTTTGGAAACTGTTAAAACCACTGGCTATATATCTTTAATCTACAATAAGATAAATAATAACTATTGAAAGTTTAAAAAACGTTCATAGATTACCCCAAAATATCTTGCTTGACAAATAAATGAAAAAAGAAGTTTAACTATTTTTCCACTCTAAACCTCTTCCCTCCTACCCTCCCACACCTCCTGAAGGAAAAAAGAGATGAAATTGGGAAAAGTCATTAACGTCGTGGCCCAGTGCATGCCACATGATGAGGTCACGCTGCAGAATATTTTCCTGTTTCGCTAATATTCAAGGCTTGTAATTCCACGGCCAGTTCACATACCTTGATGTATTTGATATTGATTTTTCCTGGCAGATCTAGAGGTTGATCCTGGAAATCACACAGACCCTTACTGGGAATTTATCAGTATGGTTTGAGAAAAAGAGTCATCTCCTCCCCAAATTTAGTCCCAGACAGCCACCTGCTGGTTCCTTTTGGAATTATCACTTTATTGTTAACTTTTGGGGAGGGGAGGAGGTGGTGCTGGTTCTGGAATGCACCACATACACTAAAAAACCGAACCGAACCCACTGCTCTTGAGTCGATTTGGACTCACAGTGACCCTATAGCACAGAGTAGAGCTGCCCCGTAGGGTTTCCAAGGCTGTAGTCTTCACGGAAGCAGACTGCCACAGCTTTCTCCTGAGGAGTGGCTGGTTGAGTTGGAACTGCCAGCCTTTAGGTTAGCAGCCGAGCGCTTTAACCACCAGGTCAAAGCACTTTAACCACCAGAGCTCCTCCACATACACTGAGACATTTTATTTATTTTTTTAATCATATTTTGTAATGTCTAAGGTGAAAGTTCACACAGCAAAGTATGTTCCCATTTAACAATTTCTACACAAATTATTCAGTGATATTGGTTACATTTTTCACAGTGTGTATCTTCTCATTCATTCTGTTCTGACTGTTCCGTTTCCAGTACTCTAGTTGCCCTGCCCCCTTACCTTCTCTGCTTTGTTTTATGGTAACTTTTAACCATTTGGTCTCATATAGATGATTTTTAAAAGAAGCTCATTACTCACGGGTAGTATTCTTTATTTTCTGAGCCAATCTGTCATTTAGTTAAAAGGTGACCTCAAGGGAGAATTTTGGTTTAAGGTTTAAAGAGTATCTCAGGGTGATAGTCTCAGGGAGTCCTCTAGTCTCACCCAGTCCAGTAAGTCTGGACTTTTTAAGAATTTCAGTTCTGTTCCACATTTTTCTCCCATTCTGTCAGGATCCATCTATTGTATACCATCCATTGGTAGTGGTAGCCAGGCACCATCTAGTTCTTTTGGTCTCAGGATAGATGAGGCTGTGGTTCGTGTAAACTATTAGCCCTATAGACTACTTTCTTCTCTGAGTCTTGGGTTTCCTTCTCTCTCTTTCATTCCTGACAAGGAGAGACCAATAGTTGTATTTTAGATGGCCGCTCGCAAGTTATTAAGACTCCAGACACTACTAACAACATTGGCATGTAGAACATACAGTTCATGAACTATATTATGCCAGTGAATTAAGTTGTCCCATGAGACTGTGATCCTGAGCCTTCAAATCCAGAAAACCGATCTTGCGAGGTATTTGGTTATGTCTAAGGAGTATCCGTAACTATTCCCCTATTCACTGAGATATTTTTAACCCACCTTCTCTGCATCTCTCACCCTATATAGAAATTATTTTCTAAAGAATCAATATGTGAAGGAGGATTATGGAAACTGTGGAAGAAATTTATTAAAGAGAAGCATTCAATTAGTGTATACTGAGTATTCTCAGAATTTTTTTTTTACGAACTTATTGGATAAAATAAAATAGAATAATGTTTCCCAAATTGTGTTCTGTAGAATGTTAGTCCTGGTAGATAAAGGACTGTGGTCAAGCAAGTTTGGGGAAAATGCTGCATGTTAGATTCTCCTCTTGGAGACTCCCAATGCCAATCAGAGTTTTCAAGGCTCTGAGAAATCCTGCAGTAAAGAATCTGTCTAATCTTGTTTGAAGCCCTGGTGGCATAGTGGTTAAGAGCTACAGCTGCTAACTAGAAAGTCAGCATTACAAATCCACCAGCCACAACTTAGAAACCCTATGGGGCAGTTCTACTCTGTCTTCTAGGGTCACTATGAGTCAGAACCCCCACATGTCTATCAGTTTGCCGTAGTGTGGGGGCTTGCATGTTGCTGAGATGCTGGAAGCTATGCCACCGGTATTCAAATACCAGCAGGGTCATCCATGGCAGACAGGTTTCAGCTGAGCTTCCAGTCTAAGACAGACTAGAAAGAAGGACCCGGTGGTCTACCTCTGAAAAGATTT